ATCTGTGAATAATCAAATCCACAAAAGTCAAATCTGCAAATGTGAAGAGACGAGTGTATACTGTTATAGTACTATTATTCCACTTTAACTGCTATGGCTTCCTCTTGTGGACCTCTGTGGTTTGTAGTTTAGTGTGGCCTAAGAGCTCTCTGGATGAGAATTTCTAAATGCTCCTCCCTAAACTGCAAAGGGATGCGGTGGCTTAGTGGTTAAGACGCCACTTTTGACGATTGGAAGATTGAAAGGTTCACAGTTTGAGGCCTGAGTGCTGCATAATGGGGTGAGCTCCTGTCACTAATCCCAGCGTCTGCCAACCTAGCAGTTTGAAAGCATGCAAATGCAAGTAGATAAATAGGTACCACTTTGGTGGGAGGGTAACAGCATTTGATGCAGTCATGCTGGCCACATGACCGTTGGATTCTTCTTTGGACAACGGTGGCTCTTCGGCTTAGTAATGGAGATGAGCACCACCCCTTACAGTCGTTTATGACTAAATATTCACGTCAAGGGACTATCTTTACCTTTGCCTTTAAACTGCAAATCCCAGGTTTTCACAGGAGGTAGCCATAGCAATTAAAGCGGATTAATAGCGCTATACTGCAGCATTGTGTGATATTCTACTCAGTCAAGTAAATCAGAGCCTTGAGTTTGCAGGACCTTAGCAGGTCAGTTATTGAACTGAGGATCTTGGAGGTCTCTCCTTTATAAAATTGCCATAAGTTGAAGTCACCTAGACAGCAAATAAAAATAACAACAACATGTGACCTTTGGTGGTCCCTTCTGAGTCTATGATTCTGTGATTGTATTTACTGCTTTTCCACCCATGGATGTTTCTAATAAAATTGATGAAAATGTGTTTTTTTAAAAAAAGATTTACAACTCTTTTTAAAAGGCAATAAAAAAAAAGACACTGGTTTTCAAGACCAGGTTAAAAACAATGTCAAATGCTGCTTTTAAATCTAATGTTGAAGAACATGGAACAAGGCAGTTTTGCCCTCCTTTGAGAAACAAAACTGGATTAGAACAAGGCTGACTTACCATGGGAATTCAACAACAGAGGTGCTGCTACAAAGAAAGCCCTGTCTCATGTCTTCATGATCCTTCTCTCTCAGAGCAGTGAGATCTTAAATTCTGAACAGACTCACAAGGAGGCAGACTTTCAGCTATCCAAGCCAGATTTTTTAAAAAGCACCTTGAATTTGCTCAGAAGCAAATTGCAGTTGGCTCAAGAGCGGTGATACATGATCCTCAATGTGCTCACCAGATAACATTGTAGCTGCAAGATTTTGCACTAGTTATAGCCTTGGAATATACCCTATGAAGGGGAGAGGATCTATGGTGGAGTCTTGAATTTGAGACAAACTGGATCTCAAAGAGTTGTCTTGCTAACGGAATTTAAATGTTATTTCCTGGACCTGAAGAATCTCTCAGTAACCACATGGCCAGATGGAAGAGGGGCCTGCCTGCATGACTACCCCTCCATACCATCTGAACTGAGAAGAACAACCACAATGTCTTGACAAAATGCAGGCCTATGACTAACATTGTCATTTTTTCCTTTCTCATGTATGATTTTTAACTTCTTTGCCTGATGAAGAAGCCAGTGGAGTTTTGAAAGCTTGCAACATGTATATCGTGCATTTTGGTTGGCCCAATAAAGCTACATTTGGCCCCTTGTATCCATGAGGGTTCCATCTGGACCCCCTGTGAATCCCAAATACCACAGGACTTCCAATCCCATTATAGTAAATAGCAGTGCTATGTGTACATGACAATGTTGGTTTGGCTGCATGCACATGCCGCCATTGAAGAGAATAGGATGCGTCCATCCATGGATGCTCCAATCCATGGACAGCAAGCTCAGCAATACAAAGGGCTTATTATAGCACTGTTTTGTGCACTTTGGATTTATTTATTTTGCTATATGGTCATCATGGCTACCCCTGGACATGTTTTCTGTATGCTGTGAGATGTATACCCTCATGATCTTGAAGAAACTGAAATGCTTCCCAAAATGTCTAGTGGAACAAGAGTTCTTTTGACTTTTATTCATCCAACAGTCTGTCCAATGGTATTAAAAATGTGGAGATTTTTCTCCTTTCTTGGCATTTCTGCAGCTAATGTAGTCTCTGATGAGACTCCCCAACCATTAATTATAGACCACACTGTTAAAATTCCTGCCAAGGACTTTGAAACTGAGGTGCTTGCTGATGTTGCTAAGCCTTACCTCCTGATGCTGATGACAAGAATCACCAAACAGAAAGGCCCTCTATGCCAGCATATTTAAATTCACCTGACCCATTAGAAGCATTCTGGAAGGACTAAGAAATATGTCTTCTTCATTGGAAGTTCAACCATGCATCCCAAGCACCTCCTGCTCTCTGTTGGCCAAGGCAGGAGCTGTTGGAGCAGTTTCTCCCCCTTCTGCTTTACTTTCCTCCCCTCTCAATGGGAGGGAATTAGCTATGTGAGTTCCAGAGTTGGCTTAATGTCAGGGCTGTTGAGGGAACAAAAGGATGTAGGATCCTGCTGATCCATGATCTTTTCTGGAACACTCTTCTATGGACTTTCTCAATCCAGTGGATCACTGCTATTGGTACAGGAACATCTGTGGGATTGACGTCAGGGCCTGGACCCCTTTTCTTTGGTCCTCAGGTCAAGGAGAGGAATCTCAGGGTGAGAGCACTTCCTTGAAAAGTATTTGTGTGCATGCATTGTGTACATTCATGTTGTTTCTGACTTATGGAGACCTTAAGGTGAACCTCTCATAGGTTTTGTTACAACCACTGGAATGTTGTGGTGTGGGTTCTCTTCTATGGCCCCGAATGGACCCTGTCAGCCATGAGCCTAAAAGTGGCAGGTACCCTATTAACAGATTAAACAGATAGTCTGGGAGCTGCAATCAAGGAATAATTCACACTTCTGAGACAGGAAGGCTAGGTGATTTACAACAGGATGTTTTGCACCCAAGCAGGAGATTGCCCATTTACAATCCCATTCCCACTTTTATTGCTCTTATCTTGAGTGATCTTTTTCATGCAGATTTGGCCCTTTGATGTATCTTTGCCTCAGGGTGTTTTTGTCCTGTATAAAGACCTAGATTTCCTTCGTTTTCTCAGGCTGGCTAGAATTCATGGTGACTCCATGCTACTTTGAATTCTGACTACTTCTGACTCACTGCCATCCCTCCTGACATGGCTGAGTCTAACACCACACCATCCAATTAGACCATCCAGAGTCACCATGTCGATAGTAAGTATCAGTGTTAGTGGAGCCTCTGATCTATTCCAATGCTCATCATTTTATTCTTTAGCTTGTGTGTGTGTGTGTGTGTGTGTGTGTGTGTGTGTGTACACATGCACTTGCATTGATGTGTATTTCCCCTTGAATAAAATACAGTTAATAGAAAGAGTTTTGCCTCTGTGATTTCCCTATTCCATCATCTTGGTATATAGTGTGAAACGATTCCATAGGGTTACTTGTAGCTCAGTCCATTGATTAATTGAGCTAATTAAAATTCCCCTAGAGAGGTACATAGCTACAGGTTTCCCTGGCAAGACTTGTTCAAGGTGGGGGCTGCCTGTGCCTTCCCCTGAGGTTGAGAGAATGTGACTGGCCCAAGGCCACCTAGTGGGTTTCCATGGCCAAGCAAGGATTCACTCTTGGTCTCCAGATCCATAGTCCAACACTCAAACCACACTGTTTCTCTCTTTCTTTATATGTTTTTTTAAAATTTTATTTGTTAGACTTGATGTTTTTGTACCCAGAAACTGTAGTTGATTTTGAATTACTAGGAGCTGCCCCTAGTAACATCATCATTGACTTCTGTGATATCACAAGGGGACCTCAGATTTTTGCTCCATTGTTCAGTAGGACTCAGGTTTTGATACTAAATCTCAGGGTCTAAGCTAGTCCTGACCTGGTCTCGCTCTGCCCTCATATCACACTGCTTAGAAATATTATTTTTTGGATTACAAGCATCCCCCATTTTTTGATAGATCACTTTTTGACAATCTACTTTTTCAATGCTATTAAATTATTACCAGAACCCATTTATTTGACCTGTGGTTTGCTCTTTCAACAAATATAAGCATGAATATCTGTATAGTGCTGTATAATAAGCACAC